TCAGCCTGGGAGACAAGAGTGAGACCCTATCTTAAAAAGAAAAGTTTAGCACTGGGCGCAGTGGCTCACGCCTGAAATCCCAACACTTTGGGAGGCTTAGGCGGGTGGATCACTTGAGGTCAGGAGTTCAAGACCAGCCTGGCCAACATGTTGAAACTCTGTCTCTACTAAAAATACAAAACATTAGCTGGGCATGGTGACATGTGCCTGTAATTCCAGGTACTTGGGAGGCTGAGGTTGCAGTAAGCCAAGATCAAGCCACTGCACTCCAGCCTGGGTGACAGAGCAAGACTTTGTCTCAAAAAAAACAAAACAAAACAAAACAAAAATAAAAGAAAGATCTGGATGGGAACACATCAACACAGGGAGGGGAACAATACACACCAGGGTCTGTAGAAGGCATGAGGGGAGGGAGAGCATCAGAACAAACAGCTAGAACAAGTAACCTAAGTGATGGGATGAGAGGTACAGCAAACTATCACATCACATGTTTATGTATGTTAACGAACCTGCACGTTCTGTACATGTATCCAGGAATTTAAAGTAAAATAAAATAAAATAAAATTAAATTAAAAAAAAAAGTTTGGATGGGTGCAATGGCTCACACCTGTAATCCCAGCATTTTGGGAGGCAGATCACCTGAGGTCGGTGGTTTGGGTGTTCCAGACCAGCCTGGCAAACAGGGTAAAACCCCATCTCTACTAAAAATAGAGATGAGGCAGAGCCAGACTCTCTCTCAAAAAAACCGTTTACAACGGCATTGAGACTCTCTAACCCCTAAGTCTCTTACTACGTCAACTTAAGCTTTTCTGTAACAACTTCTACTGTTGATAAATAATCTTTATAATCCCAGGTTTCTGTCTGCTACAGTTCCAATGGAGTAGTCATCTAACCAGTTTCACAGCTATAGGATCTTCAGTAGTTTTCAGTACTTTTTTGTTAGTGACTAAACATGATGCTGTTTTTCAGTATTTCTATAATATTCTAATCTAGAAGTTGTTCCACAAACCCATTTTAACATATTAATATCAGTTTCATAAGGCTCACCTTAATATTATCCTTCCCTATAGAGAGAATACAAAGATCATTCCACTTTTTGTCTAATATATTTTATCAAAATTTGTGTTTTGTTATAGAGAATTTTGGTTAGCAAATCTGCCATACAAGAAATACTAAAAGGAGTCCTTCGGGCTAAATGAAAGGACACTAGACAGTACTTGAAGTCCAAATGAGAAAATAAAGAGCACAGGTAAATGTAACTATCTAGGTAAATATTAAAGACAATATAAACATGTTTTTATATTTGTAACTGAAGTAAGCTTTTTTTTTTTTTTTTTTTTGGAGACTGATTCTTGCTCTATTGCCCAGGCTGGAGTATAATGGATGGTACAATCTCGGCTCACTGCAACCTCTGTCTCCAGGGTTCAAGCAATTCTCCCGTCTCAGCCTCCTGAGTAGCTGGGATTACAGGCACCCACCATCATGCCAGCCTAATTTTTGTAGAGACGAAGTTTCACTATGTTGGCCAGGCTGGTCTTTAATTCCTGACCTCAGGTGATCCACATGCCTCAGCCTTCCAAAGTGCAGGGATTACAGGTGTGAGCCACTGTGCCTGGCCAGAAAGTATTCTTAAGTGATCATTTTAATTACTTTAATTCAGTAACAATATTGAATGTGTTGATGAGCATACAATGTATAAAGATGCAGGGAATAGCTATGTAGTAACAAAGCTTTTTACAAAGTAAGGAAATTAAGTCTGTATTAATCCAAACTAGATTGTTAGAAATTAAGATGTTGTAATCCCAGGGCAATCACTAGAAAAATAATTTAGAAAAATATAGTGAAAATAATGACAAGGGAATTAAAATGGTATAGCAGAAAATAACGATTTAACACAAAAGAAAACAGTAAAGGAGAAAAAGAAACAGAAAGACATAGACGTATAAAAAAAAGAGACAGCAAAATGATAGTCATAAACTCTTCTTGTTTTTCATTGTTGTTTTTTTCTTTTTGAGATGGTGTCCTGCTCTGTCACCCAGGCTGGAGTGAAGTGGTGTGATTTCGGTTCACTGCAACGGTCTCCCAGGTTCAAGCGATTCCCCTGTCTCAACCTCCCAAGTAGCTGGATTACAGGTATGTGCCACCACACACAGCTAATTTTTCCATTTTTAGTACAGACAGGGTTTCACCATGTTAGCCAGGCAAACTCCTGACCTCAGGTGATCCACTCTCCTTGGCCTCCCAAAGTGCTGGGATTATAGGCGTGAGCCACCATGCCTGGTAGTCATAAACTCTTATCGGTAATTACACTAACTATAAATGGACTAAATAGTCCAAAAGGTAAAACTGGCAGAATGGAATACAAAAACAAAACTCGAACTATGGGCTGTTTATAATGAACACACTTTACAAGTCACAAATAGGTTGAAAGTCAAAAGATAAGAAAAGATATACACAATACAAACAGTAATCAAGAGACCTGAATTGGCTACACTAGTATCAGACAAAACAGATGTTTAAGACAAACATGTTATTAGAGACAGAGGACTTTGTGTGTGTGGTAAAAACATGACATAAAACTTGCTACTTTAACCATTTTTTTGTTTTTTTGAGACCAAGTCTTGCTCTGTTGCCCAGGCTGGGGTGCAGTGGCACAATCTCAGCTCACTGCAACCTCCACCTCCCGGGTTCAAGCAATTCTCCTGCCTCAGCCTCTCAAGTAGCTGGAATTACATGTGTGTACCACCACGCCCAGCTAATTAACAGAAACTTCAAAAACCTTACTTTCAAATGGATAGAACTACACAAAAGATCAGCAAGGACTTGAATAATACCAAAAGCCAACTTGAACAAACAGGCATTAGGAGAACACTTGACCCAACCAATGGAGCATGCACGATCTTCTCAAATACACATGGAACATTCTTTAGAATAAACCATATGTTAGGCCATAAAACAAGCCTCAATAAATTTTAAAAGACTGAAATCACAGAAGCACATTATCCAATCAGAAAATACTGAAAACAGAAACCAGTAACAACAACGAAAAGCTATAAAGAGCATGAGCTGCAAAGAAAAAAACAGATAAACTGGATTTCACCAAAATGAATACCCTGCGTACTTTCGATGGATACCATCAATACAATGAAAAAACCTAAAGAATGGATGACCATATTTGCAAAATAACTTATTTGATAAGGGGCTGGATTATACAAAGGACTCTTGCAACTCAATAATAAAAGGACAAAAACCTGATTTTTTAAATGAGCAAAGAATCGATGTTTCCCCAAAGACATACAATTTGCCAATAAGCCTTTGCAAAGATACTCAACATCATTGGCTGTGAGGAAAACATAAATCAAACACCACGAAGAGATAATACTTCATACTGACTAGGATGGCTATTATCAAAAAGACAGACAATAACAATTATTCCTAGAATATGGGAATTGGAACCATCATTGCATTGCTGGTGGCAAGTAAAATGTGAAGCTACTTTGGAAAAACAGTCTGGCAGTTTCTCTCTCTCTCTCTCTCTCTCTCTCTCTTTTTTTTGAGATGGACTCTTCCTCTGTCGCCCTGGCCAGAGTGCAGTTGCACAATCTCAGCTCACTGCAACCTCCGCCTCCCGGGTTCAAGAGATTCTCATGCGTCAGGCTCCTGAGTAGCTGGGACTACAGGCATCGGCCACCACACGTGGCTAATTTTTTTTTTTTTTTTTTGTATTTTTGGTAGAGATGGGGTAACATCATATTGGCCAGGCTGGCCTTGAACCCCTGACCATGGTCTGCCCGCCTTGGCCTCCCAAAGTGTTGGGATTACAGGCATGAGCCACCACGCCCAGCCAGAAAATGGTCTGGCAGTTTCTCAAAAGGTTAGATGTAGAATTGCCATCCGACCTAGCAATGCCTATCCTAGGCATTACCCAACAGAACTGAAAACGTCTATCCACAGAAAAATATGTACTCAGAGGCCGGGTGCGGTGGCTCACGCCTGTAATCCTAGCACTTTAGGAGGCCGAGGTGGGTGGATCACCTGAGGTCAGGAGTTCAAGACCAGCCTGGCCATCATGGTGAAACCCCCATCTTTAAAAAAAAAAAAATTAAAAAATTAAAAAAAAAAAAAAAGTACACAGATAACCAAAGCAGCATTACCGATAGCTGCCAACAAGTAAAAACCCAATGTCCTCAGCTAATAAATGGATAAGTAACATGTGCACCCATGCAATAAAATATTTAACAATAAAAAAATGAACTGATAGATGCTGTGATGTGATGAAAACTTAATTATACAATTCAATGAAGATTATTCAAAGAGGCCAGTCACAGAAGACCACATATTACACGATTCCAACGATATGAAATGTCCAGAAAAGGCAAATCTAGAGTTAGAAAGTAGGTTAGTAGTTGCCTAGGGCTGGGGAACATGGGAGATGACAATGACTAGAAATGAGCTTCTTTATGGGGAGATACAATGTTCTGCAGTCAGTTGTGGTAATGGTTGCACAACTGTGAAATATATTAAAAATCACTTAACTGCACACTTAAGTGGGTGAATTTTATCTCTATGAAGCCACTACATTAAAAGAAACAAAAAAATCAACTTAAACACATGCCCTTTGTAAGTTTTCCCTGTTGTAGAAATACTAAGAGAACAAGTAGATACCTAAGGACTTGCCTACAACTCTGCAAACTTCTAAAAAAGAACTTCAAAACAAACTATAATAGCCGGACTTGCCTAAGTATTGCATGTTGGGTAAGACAGAGGTCATGGCATATTCTGAAGACTGACTGCAGAAGAGCAAACTTCATCTTGTCTGACACTGATGAGGAAAGCTGAAGAGCTTTCTGTCACAACCTCCGTCTCATTTTTCCACTTACAGTTTAACCTATATAACTTCTTGCGAGGAGTATGTGTACACATGTGAGGTTATGTGAAAAAAATCCTTTTCTAAAGCTTTGTTTACAACACTGTATTTGTATTTGAGGTTGGAGTTTTACCATGCACAGGAGAATCTTCATCAGCAAACAGACTTGGTTCTATTTCTTTCAAAGAACTTCTACCTTCAAGTCGGGCAAGGAGCTTACAAAAGAAAAGACAGAAGGAAAACTCATTATTTAAAAATATAAAATCCCAGACAACTGTATTAATACAATTTTCTGAAAGTCTGTAAGATTTCATAACTTTAGACCTGGTGCTGTGGTTTACACCTGTAATCCCAACACTTGGGAGGCCAAGGTGGGCAGATCCCTTGAGTCCAGGAGTTTGAGACCAGCCTGGGTGACATGGCAAAATCTCAACTACAAAAAATACGAAAATTAGCCGGGCATGGTGGCACACACTGTAATCCCAGCTACTCAGGAGGCTGAGTTGGGAAGATCACCTGAGCCCAAGAGGCAGAGGTTGTAGCCTGGGTGACAGAGTGAGACCCTGTCTCGAAAATTTTTTTTTCATAATTTTGTGGATTTGGAAGAAATAGGAAATATAGTTTAGGAGAAATCTTGTGTTTACTTATTTATGAGATATTTCACTTTTTGCTTATCTACCAGATACTGACAGTATAAAGTGAGTCTGTTCCCTTAAAGGAATGGATAGTCTAGTTTAGGATACAGGACAAACTACTAGGGCAAAATTTTTACCTTCCTTAACTTTCGCACTATAATTGTTACCACAGCTGTTATACAGTTATCTGCCTTCATTTGTCTGCCCCATTCATTATGAGCTCTTTACTTCCTTGCAGAAGGGGACAAAGGAGAAAGGTGGAGGAAAACTTCCTTGAGGAGCCATCACCTGAGCTCTCTCCCCCTAAGACTCTGCCAGGGGATGGGGAACAGGCAGGCCTAGCAGACCTACCAGCAGGAACAGGAGCAGCCACAGGGCAGAGGCTATAAACAGCACTGTGCACAAGGACACTAGGAGCAGATTTAACCCTAGAGTTCATAGCAGCACCAAACAGCAGGACACAGTGAAGCCCTGAAAGAATGCACAGGTCAGAGCATAGAAGGGCTCAGATGTCATGTTTAGGAGCTTATCTTTGGCTGTGGACAATAGCAACAGGTGTGACACTAACCAGTGAGAAGCATTTAGCATTGTTAAGAGCAGACATTTGGGACCCCAGAGCCAGACCTGCTAGGTCACCAGGGGCCTTAGGCTTCTCATCTGTAAAGTGAGGATAGCAAACAGCACCTCCCTCATAAGGCTGATGAGGATTAAATATGTGAAAAGAGTACCTGGCATATTATCTGCTTTTTTTTTGGAGATGGAATCTTGCTTTGTCACCCAGGCTGGAGTGCAGTGGCACGATCTCTGCTCACTGTAACCTCTGCCTAAGCTCAAGTGATTCTACCTCAGCCTCCTCAATAGCTGGAATCAGGCACCCACCACACCCAGCTAATTTCTGTATTTTTGGTGGAGACAGGGTTTCACTATGGTGGCCAGGCTGGTTTTGAACTCCTGACCTCAAATGACGCCTCCCCCCCCCTTCAGCCTCCCAAAGTGGTGGGATTATAGGTGTGAGCCACTGGGCCCAGTCCATCCGCATTTCAAAGAGATCATCTTGGTGGTTACTAGGGGACAGATGTGAGAAGAGTAAAACCATATGTGGAGAGAGGGCTGGAGTCTGTCACCCTAGTCTGGAGGAGGAGTATCTGCACCATGACAGAAGTCATTAGGGTCATAGGGGCAACCTCGGTGAAGGATTTCACTGTCACAAGGGAGACATAATCAAAACTGATTCTCAAGTTTGTTGGGAATCAGCAGACCTGATAACCCTTCTATATGACAAAAGAAAAAAAACCTATCACAAATGGGAAGAAAAAGTCACCTTTTATTTGCGGTTTTTTTTTTTTTTTTTTTTGGCCAAATCAAGTTGTGGAAAGACTTCCTGAAGTGATGAAAAAGTTATATACGTTAATTTAACAGGCGTTCGTTGAATTTCTGTTGCATATGAAGCACTGTGTCAGGCAAAATGGAGACTACAAAGATGAAGATGAAACCCACCCTCAAAAAATGTGCAGTCCAGGTCCTCTAGATGAGACTGTCATAAAGCAAGGTAAAGATACAGGGTGCTTAGTTACAGCAGAGGTTTGAGGGCATACCCATGGCCGACATGAAAAGTAAAAATTAACATGTTATTTGCCTTTTTGACTAGTTTGACACTGAGGCCGTAAAAGCAATAGTGGGTAACCTGGTGACAGCTAGCATAACAAAGGCAGTGGCATGGAAATGTATTAGCACACACCGCCTCACCACACACTCACCAAGCACTACCTGCACTCAGGCAGAACAAACAAAACCCAGCTTTAGGTAAGAATGTCTTTGATGAAGTTAAAAAAAAAAAAAAAACTGGTTTTATTAAATTGACCCTTGAGTACAATTTAAAAAAAATTCTTTGTGATGACATGAGAAACATACTGTGTAGTGAATAACTTAACCTTGCCTGAGGGGAGGTCTAGTTTTTGTCCTTGGCTCCTGAGAGGTAATTCTAAACCCTTGGAATGTCTTGACTGATAGTGTCTTTGAGCAGGGCACAGTGGCTCACACCTGTAATCCTAATACTTTGGGAGGCCAAGGTGGGAGGATTGGTTGAACCCAGGAGTTTAAGACCAGCCTGGAAAACATGGTGAAACCCCGTCTCTACAAAAAATACAAAAAATGGCTGGGTGTGGTGGCATATGCCTGTAGTCCCAGCTACTCAGAAGGCCAACAGAGAAGAACTGCTTGAATCCAGGAGGTTGAGGCTGCAGTCAGCCAAGATGTGGCACTGCACTCCAGCCTGGGCAACAGAGCAAGATCCTGTCGTTCTGCAAAAGAAAGTGTCTGTTTACATGGGAACCTTGAGCCATACCAGATAAGAATGTGATTTATGGTGGGGGCTTTGGGTCATGCAGTGTCAGGCCAACCTGGAGGTGCTGGAAGCTAAGGTCAGCTATGCAGGCAGCTGACCATGTCCGCATGGCAGAGCCTAGTTGAGATTCCCTGCTTGGCAGTATTCTGTCTATTGTCACACATTGCTGCTGGGAGGATTTAGCACTGTTGATGACTCCACTGGGGGAGGACAGCTGGAAGCTCTGTGCTTGGAACTTCCTGGACTTTGTCCTATTGTGTTTCTTCCCTTGGCTGATTTTAATCTCTATCCTTTTGCTGTTGTAAACCATAACTATGAACACATCAGCCTTCACTGAGTTCTGAGTCCTTCTAGGGACTTATTAAATCTGAAGGTGACTGTGATGGTTAATTGTATGCGTCAACCAGATTAGGTTAAGAGATGCCCCAACAGCTGGTAAAGCATTATTTTTGGGTGTCTTATGAGGGGGTTTCTGGAGAACATGAACATTTCAATCAGCAGACTGAATAAAGAGTATCCATCCTCACCAATGTGGATAGGCATCCTCCAGTCCCTCTTTTCTTGACTGGGACCCCCATCTTCTCTTGCCCTCAGATACTGGAGTCCCTGATTCTGGGACTTACACCAGTGCTGCCTGCCTCCCAATCCTGCACTGCTCTCCAGCCTTTAGAGCCTTGGATTGGGTTCCACCATGGGCTCTCCTGGCTCTCAGGCCTTCAGACTCAGAGTGAATGACATCACAGGCTTTTCTGGTTCTCCGGCTTTCAGATGGCGTGTCTGGGACTTATTGGCCTCCATAATCACATTGTTAGAGTAGGTAGAGAGGCAGGTGTGAGCAGGGCAGGACAGGCCCCAAGCAATGTCCTGGTGGCCTCTTCAGGAATGATAACTGGTTGCAGCTGGCACCAGGGAGGGGAAAATTTCCTAACAGGAAACATCTTGAGCTTATGGAGAACAACTTCCTGATAAGATCCTAGGAACTGAGCAAACATGTCCAGGAATGTGCAGTAAGGAGCAAAATGGTGGAGTGTGATCAGTATATGACCTTCCTCTGGGAACACTAGAGCAGTAAGGGAAAATTGCCCTACAAGAGCATGCACAGAACTCCAACTACCAAATGACACTTGTGGCCCCTTCAGATGCTGGCAAGTCACCACACATGTGGCAATTAGCCAGCAACCCACCCAAGGAGGATGAGAGGAGACCAGGAAGAATCAGGAAATAGGGGCATTCAATATTTCAAGTTGCCCAGTTGGTCCCTTCCAAGTAAACTTCACTTCAAAAAACCTTCACTTCTGCCTTGAATCTACTTCTCTCTCTTGGCTGAGTTGTTTCTTCCAAGAAGAACTAAGGACTGTGGACCCCAACCGGACTTGTCGCCCCCCCACCCCGATATCAATGTAAGCCAATATCCACAATAAATTTCCTCTTATACGTCTACATGTATCCTATTGGTTCTATTTCTCCTCTGGAGAACTGTGCCTGATATAGAACTCAGTGAACCATATTTCCAAAAGATGCATGATGTGAAATCATTCCTGGGTAAATGATTTCTCTCAAACTCTGACTTTTTTTTTTTTGGAGACAGGTTCTTACTCCCCTCACCCAGGCTGGAGTACAATGGCACGATGAGCCTCCCAAGCTCAAGTGATCCTCCCACCTTGGTCTCCCAAGTAACTAGACTACAGGTTCGTGCCACTACGTCCCCCTAGTTCTTTATTTTAGGAGACAGGTCTCACTATGTTGCCCCGGCTGGTCTCAAATTCCTGGGCTTAAGTAATCCATCCGCCTTGACCTCCCAAAGTGCTGAGATTACAGGTGTGAGCTACTGCACCTGGCTGAGGACAGACCTTTTTAGAAAAGTTCACTGATAAGATTTTATATCTCACAAAGAAGAATATCTATAAATTCTTTGAAAAAGTCTTAAAATACTCCTCCCTTTTCTAACGTAATTTTCTCTGAGAGGAAAGATGTTCTTCATATACTTTAACCAGACCAACATATGATAGCAGACTGGATAAGAACCCAGTTAACTTCTATTAAGCCAGATATTAAAAATATCTGCAAATATGTAAAACAATGTTACTTTTCTTACTACATTTTTACCCTCAGAAAAATACAGCTATTTTGAGCTAAAATAAACAAATGGGATCTAATCAAACTTAAGAGCTTCTGCACAGCAAAAGAAACAATCATTAGAGTGAGCCGGCAACCAAGAATGGAAAAAAATTTTTGC